CAGGGGGAACAGATTTTCACGGGGGAGCAGAATTTCGCACAAGACCGTTACTTCTTGTATTTGTTACCATAGCGACCACGAATGCTCATTTCCTGTTTCAAAACAAAAGTACCTTTCTCAAGAATGTTTTTATTGTTATTTTTTCAAAATAGGAAGAAAAAAAAAGTATTATAATGAGTTGGCGTATATCTCGTTGTTTTTCCTAATTAGAAGTAATTTATATTTGTTTCTAAGCGGAGAAGGGGCTGGCATGGACTGGCATGTATTTGTAAGGCAAGTTTTAGAAGCAGCATACAACCGTCAGATGTCAGCATTTCAAGCAAAACAACCAGAACATTTTTCATTTTCGTTTCTTCGTGCAGATTCACTTTCATATTTTGGGTACTGTAAACTTGAAACTTAGAGCGTAAGTTTCGTTTTCCTGGGTGCAGTGATGAAAGTTTTTCTCTTGGGGAGGATGAGTCAGCAACACAGTCTTTAAATCAGCTGTGCAGATCAGCTGTTAGAGAGAGCTGTTTCTTCTTCAACCAGCACATTCAGACTTCAGCTTCCACATTCAAAGGATGGACACACAACAGTGGACACGCATTTTCCAGAATCATATAGAGACGCTCAACAAACAAGACATCTGGCAGTTGGAGTTTGATGAAAATATTGATGCTTCTCGTGAGAACTTCGGCTGGGAAAATTACATCAGGAGAACAATTGCAAGGTCAGCATTACTGTTAGAGACCACATCAGCTGAGCTGATGCTTATATTTGTGTACAAACAAGATTAATATCAACTCTGTTGTAATAGCTAAAAAATGTTTCCTCATAAGATTTTTGAATGTGAATTTCCTGCTATTTAGGTGATGTTTATGTTCTTTGATGAGAGGGTTTTTCTACATACAGGCCTACAACAGATTATCATACTTTGTCATTGAAGATATGGAAGTACAGTATGAGTAGGAGATGTTTAATATTACATTTATTTTCTAAAGTAGAGCAGATGGCATTATTGATTTTTTTTGCCATCTAAACTGTGCAGGCTTAATAAATTCCCCTTTAATAAATAAAGCAACTGTACTTTTTTTTTATTTCCAGAGATAATAACTAATTACTCTGACATTTAAAAAAGTTTTGAAGTAAACCATTGTGCCTTGATATTTATCCAGCAGGTCCTGAAATAAAAGTATTTTATTTTAGAAAGCATCCTGTTTGTTCTCATGTGTTACTGTGGAAATGTGTTACAACTGTCATGATGTGAAATTTTGTCTCCCCCCCCCCCCCCCCACCCACACACACACACACACACACACACACTTTTCTTTTCTTGGCTTACATAGCTGCCCACTGCTCCACCTGGGTGTATCTCACGTGTGATGGTTAAATGCAGAGAATTAATTTTACCATTGTATGGGCACATACAATGATGACAATCTCAAACTTCCCCCCTACTCTGACCTTTGACCTGTTTTCACTTGTAATTCATGTCACAGCCTCTTGATGTCCTCAGTTGTCTTGTTTCTAGCTCATCATCTTGCCCCCATCATACCTGTTGCCACTCATCCATCACTTCTCCTTTATAAACTCCTTGCATTTTCAGTCAAGAGTCAAAGCCGATGCTTACCTTATGTCAACTGCTCGTGGTATTTTTACCATTTGGACTTTATATTAAATATTTCACTTTCCATTTTGAAATTAAATAGCACAATAATCAAACCTACTTTGAACTTTCTGGTTTAATTTTGTATTTGAATTAAAAAGTTTTCTTTCAAAGTCACATTCAAGTTCTTCTATAGACACACCTAATCTTACATGATCTTGTGATGTGATTTTTAAAGGTTCAGATGCACCACATGTGGGAGAAGCTGGCCTTCCAACCAGGTCATGGTGATCTTCCTTATGCAGCTGATGAATGGGAAGGGCACTGTAAAGGTCAGACCCTTACGTCAGAACTGCAAGAGATGCCTCCATGCTCCCATGGTGAAACCACTCGTTGAATCAGATGACATCGATACCCTCATGGAGAACCTGATGGAAAAAATCAGAATAAAGTGCTACAAGGAAGAACTTGGTCGAAAATCGAGGCGTCCTAGACATCTCGATGTGAAGAGTCCTCATGAGCCCAAACACTGTGAGGGCTGCAAGATGGGAATCTGTATGAAGACTGAGCTAATTTAACAAAATTATGACATGCATTAAATAAGTTTTATGATATTTACAAATACAACTGGGGGAGTGGTGGCGCAAAGGTTAGAGAGGTGGGCTTGTGATCTGAAGATCGCCGGTTCACGCCCCGGCCCCGACAACATCAAAAATTGTGGGTGGGGTAGGTGAAACACCCACACTTGCCCCCACCCCATGAGCAAGGCCCCTAACCCCACCATGTGCTCCCCAAAACAGGTCTCTCTTGAAAATGAGTTCTCGTGGCTCAATGAGACTAACCTGGATAAATAAAGGCTAAAAAAAAAAAAAAATAGAAAAACAACTGACTCATAATGAAAATCATTTATGATTTATGTGATGAATATTGTTGTTTTACACATAAACTAAATCTAAAATGATCTGATTGCTTTCATGCATGTATTTAAGAGGCTGAATTATCTAACTGTCATCTCGTCAAAATGATATAGAGATGTGCAATAGATGTTTGTTAAAGGGATGTTTCTATGTTGTTTAAGTATTTATATGCGTTGTTTTGAGGAGTCTGACATTATAGGAAGCATATATCAAATAATAAGGACAAAGGGTACATTTCATTCTGCCATAATAATGTTTTTTCCTTAAGTTGCAAAGCCCTAAGCTAATGTTGAGTGTTGTTAAAAATCAAGTGTGCAAAGTTTGGAGCAACTAAATGTATTTATTTCTATTTCACCTATTTATTTCTATTTCTATAAATTACAATCTTTGTTCTCCCTAATTACTTTTTTACTCTGTTTGTTTTTTTGTTTTTAAAGCAGGCATATCGTATCCTGTATGCAAAATAAAATGTCATTTAAATAATTATTATCTTTTGTTTTAAAAACAAAAAAACAAATACATTATATACACCTTAACATTTACAATGAATGCACCATCTACAGTGCAGTCTTTAATGATCTATGATGAACTTTCCATGAATTACTGCTTCAAAAATAAATTGCATATATTGTTTTGCGTTGCCATAAATGTAACATTTAGAAAACCCTGCGTGTTTGCAGACTTGCTTGTTGGTAGATTGTTTGCCCTTTGATGGATAATCATCCTGAATAAAGATCCAAGTCAGAAATGCTTTTGATTTGTTTTTGGTCCCACTTCCTGAAGAAAGAAAGAAGAGACTTCATCTGTTGACAACCTGCCATGATTAGAAAACTTGAAATTTGGAGAAACTAACCTACATATGTACTCTTGCATTTTGCTGGTGCCTTGGCACCTTAAAGGATGAGTCCAGCTTATCCATCAGACCTTCACTGAATTTGTTCATTAAAAATGGGTTAATTTTATGAGCTCTCAAGATCTTTTAAAATCTGATCCTTCAGCTAAAGCTCCAAAATACGATGACACTTCAAACAAAGCATCTCCCTTAATGGAGAGAAACTATATTGTATCATAATGGAGAACTGATAATCCTATCAAACTTGTTATTTGATATGTAAACCCACGGGGTGGCTCACACCAGAGGACACCTGTGTCTCAGCTGGCATCCACTGTATTTGCCTGTGACCAGCGCTGTGTGACTCTGAGACCACTGTGGTCAGGCTTTCACCACCTGCAAGGCACACGCGGAGCTGCATCACGCTAACTGTGGCTTATATTTGTTTCGTAAGAAAACAACGCTCTGCCCTGGCCTCGTCTGCCACATCATTTGACGAGGATTTGTCCACATCACGCTCAGGTTGGGGGGGGGATTTTTTATATCTGAGGCCACCAAAGCTGACTTGGGAGTTGGTTGGTGCAACAGGTGAGTGCAGGTTTTATTGTTCAGTGATGGGTTGTTCGTAGATGATCATCTCTCTTCAACTTTTATAGAAGATGTTTTTTTTATAGCCATGAAAAACTGAACATCTGGTAAAATCCAATTCCAAACATCATGGCTTCCAAGGACAGTAAACTCAAGGTAAAGTCTTTTCCCCTGTATGACATTTTAAGGCTGAGTATGTGTCAGTTTGACATATCTCTTCAATATGTCACATTTTATTTTAATTTCTAGTGGCTGCTTCCATCAGGCGTGATTATATTCATCATGTTCATGCCAGGTGGGATTATTGCGTTTTTATTTTATTTTTTTGCTTGTTTGTTTTACAAACCTTTAAGCATCAGCAAAAATACCCATTTAAAGTTGCAAAATAAATCTAAAATATTTGTATAGCATAATTTTTGAACTTTCTTAAATTAAACTAATATACAGTACAAGCAACTGTGGGTTGGAGCAACTGTGGCTGAGTGGTTAGAGCAGTCGTCCTCCAGTGGGAGAGTTGGGGGTTTGAATCCACCAGCAGTCACATGTTGATGTGTCACTGGGCAAGACAATGAACCCCTCATTACCTCCGATCTGTGTCCCATCGGTGCATGAAAGTGATTTAAAGCACTGAGTAGTTTCCACAGATTCAGATTAGCTTTGTGGAGACCTAGAGTGCTGTATGAATGGGTAAATGAGGACAGGTTGTAGTGTAAAGCACTTTGAGTATCTTGATAAGACATGAATGTATATAAGTACAGTCCATTTACCATTTACTGTACAAGCATAACCACGTTAACACAGTCGGTCTACTTGCTGTCGTTGCTCGTTTGTTAGTTTTGTGCGGCACGATTGAGGTGAACTGCTCCAAACCAGACCAGCCGAGCCTGCTGGCAGCTCTGACTCCTGCCTTCAGCCTGAGCGCCATACGGCCCGTCCTAAACCAAATGACCATAACCAACATCAGCGTATACTTCACTTTGTATGGTATATTAGGAGTGGTATGATCAGCTTCTCTTCTTTTTGAAAATCTTTTTATAAAACAAGATTGTCTTTACTTTTGGTGAAGAATAAAGAGTTCATAGTTTAATGTTGCTGAACTTCATTGCACACTAGTAAGAAACAAAATATCTCGTAACCCTGAGTGTTTTCAGGCTGCTCTTCTTGTCTTACAGGATGAAAAGGCTCAACTTCTGAACACTTACATTTGGCTACATTATGTAGGACGTGCACTTCTCCAGCTTCATGTCTTTCTCATCCGTGTGGTAGATGTATCATCACGTTGTATTTTGCTGATTGCAGTGGTGGATGAATGAGTTTATCAGCTGGGACCCGGACCAGTGTGGTATCAGCAAGATTTCTCTTCCTAAAGAGAAATTTTGGCTTCCGGATATTGTGATCAACGAGTTGTGAGTTGTTTCTTTTAAAGACTGTTGATTGTTCATAAAACCTATCATTTTTGTTTAATACATTTAACACTATAAACCATAAATAAGATAAACATGAAAATAAAGGCGCCCATGTCCAGCAATCACTGTGCGAGGGGCGGGGTACACCTTGGACGGGTTGCAAGTCCATCACAGGGACCTATAGAGACAAATGAGACAAACAACTATTCACTCTCTCACTCACACCTAGGGACAATTTAGAGTTACCAATCAGCCTAACATGCATGTTTTTGGTCTGTGGGAGGAAAGAACATGCAAACTCCACCCAGAATGGCTCCTGGACCAGGATTTGAACCAGGGACCTGCTCGCTGAGAGGCAGCAGCTCTGCCAGTTGCGCCACCGTGCTGCCGCTTAGACATTCATATTATCGTTTAATTTTATACAGATGTTTACGTTCAGTTATTTAAACATGATAACTGTAGTTTAAATTAGGAACGCACGATATTGGATTTTTGGCCGATATCCGATATGTCGATACGTTAAAACTTATTTGGCCAATAACCGATACCGATATTTTTTATATACTTTCCTTTGTCAGAACATAGCCCTCTTATTTAGGCTTACTTGCTCCAAAAAAATGTGTAAAAGCTGTAAGAGCTGGTGACATATTCAGTAACAGTCTTATGTATAGCACTTTAACTTATATTAAATGGAAAGTGTTAAATGTTATTTATTAGCATTAGTCGCCTGCGATGCTGTCTCACTTGTGCAGGCTAGGGTTCTAGCTGCAGTGTGGGATCCTCTGCACTCTTGTGCCAGAAGGATAGCCTTTTTAAGTGCAAAGTGTTTGTCTATCCATTGTGCTGTAACACTACCGGTAATCATGCTAACGGGGCTAACACTGGACGTCCAAATGTCTGTGGTAAAACTCGCCCAGCCAAATGCTATTGGCTATTAGCTTCTTAGTGACGACTTGTAACTCGGGTAAGGTTACGTCAGAAAAATATCTCTGACTGTGGACGATGTAGCGAGGCTGAATGTAGTCCAAAAATCTTTGGAATTCAATAGCCTCAAAAAACCCAAAACTTCCACACCATAACATTTTGACTTCTTCCTCTCCACCATGATCAGATCAGGTAGGTGTGCCGTGCACGTGACGTCATCACATTGTGCTGGCACTGCAGGCATTCTTGTCACTGGGTTGCCATACAAAAACAGCGTCTTATATATCGGTGAGTTATTTTGATAGAATGGATGATGTCCGATATTTAACTTTAACGATAATATCAGCCGATGCCATGCCGATAATATCATGCATCCCTAATTTAAATAATTGTATGTGTTTTTTAAAGGTTCCCCAGTTTAGAACATTCAAATTGTTTTTGCCATCCAAGGAGATGTGTTGACTCATCAGCATCACCGTCTCTGATTAAACATCTTCTCAGTGCACTCATCTGTTTCCTCTGGTTTTGCAGCATGGAGGAAAACAAAGCCCCATCTGTCCCATACGTGTACCTGTACAGTGACGGCAAGGTGCACGACGCTCTGCCTGTCAAAGTGGTGAGCTCCTGCAACCTCAATATCTACACCTTCCCCTTCGACATCCAAAACTGCTCTTTGTCTTTCAACTCCTACATCTACTACGGTGAGTCCCAGCAACATGTTTTAGTTCCCTTACTCAAACCATGTCTCGTGAAGTTATATGTGGTCTTTCACTGAGCTTAGCTCTTCTGATCTTTCTGTTCTCAGCTATGGAAATCAAGATTTTCCTTGGGATATCTGCAGAAGAAATCACAAAGGCCTCCAAGAATGTGATGACCACCATGGGAGAATGGGAGTTATTGGATATCACTGCCCAGAAGTTGATAAATGATGATACAACAGGTCTTTACACGGATGTGCTGGCATTTAATGTGGGTTATCACTCTGCTTGTTTTGTGTTATAAAAATAAACTGGGTTTTCATTTTGAGCACAAAATTCAAGTGTTTATGTAAATTGACAAAAGAAAAATATGTTGCTGTAAAATAAATGTTTCTTCAATTCCAAACAGGCAGAAAGAGTTCAAATGATCTGGGTGATTTAAGTTAAAATGTGTTGTTTCTGACCAAGTTTTTTCTTCTTCTTCTCTCCTCAGATCAGACTGCGCCGCCGTGCCACCATGTACGTGATGAACCTCCTCCTCCCCAGCTGCTTCCTCATCACCGTGGACCTTTTCAGCTTCCTGCTGCCGCCGCAGAGCATAGACCGATCCTCGTTCAAGATGACCCTCATCTTGGGCTACACCGTCTTCCTGCTCATCATGAACGACCTGCTGCCCGTCACCGGAAACACCATCCCTCTCATAAGTCAGTACATGTAGCTGGTAGTGCTGTCTGTGGGAGGAAAAACTATGGGTGCATGTGGGAGCCATTTATATTTGATATTCTTCCTTTACGATATGATATAATTATTTTCAAAGGATGCTACAGATGTTGACCTGGTAATATAAACTAATCTCTCTCTGTGCTCCAGATGTGTTCTTTTCTCTCTGCCTGGCTCTGATGGTGGCCAGCCTTCTGGAAACGATCCTCATCACCAACCTGTTGTGCAATTCAGCTGACTTCTCTCCCGTCCCCGGATGGATTAACGTGCTCGTTCTGAAAGTTCTCGGCTGTCTCGTTTGTATGCCACAAAAGCCTAAAAAAACAGAAGACCCAGGTATACATATAATCTGATTACAATAAATTACATTCATAAATGTGAGACCACAGAAAGTAGCTGAGGATGTAAGGCAATTTTTTTGGTTTTCCCTTTGATTTCTTAAAATTAGTTTATTTGTCTCCAAACAGTAATATCAAGGAGCGGCACTGTGGTGTCAAAAAATGTGCCCCCGGAAATAAAGGGGGCAGCTGAGGATGATAAGGCCCTGCAGGAGCTGAGGAGCCTGAGTAAAGTCCTGCGGGCCATCCGCTGCGAGGTGGATCAGAAGCAGCAGAAAGGGAAGCAGAGCTCCGAGGACTGGGTCCAGGTGGGTTTCATCATTGACCGCCTGCTGTTCGGCCTCTACATCGTCTTCGTATCAGTCAGCTTCATTACCATCATCATTATCTGGGTGAACTCATACAACCAGTAAGCTGCTGTGTTCAAAGGAGCTCCGTTCATCTAGGGGTTCAGATGTTTGTTGCAACTTCTCTGTAAGTTTTTTTTAGAGGATTTTTAAAAACTGATTAATTGTAGCTAAGATATTTATACAATTCATAAACAATAGAGAGAGTTTAAGTGCTGTTTAGAAATATGGTCATGTTATTCTAATGAATTCGCTAAATATTAGATATGGTTTAAAGCTCTGTGTGTATTATTGTGCAACTTTATTTGGAGCAAAACAGTGTCTACCAAATAAAATTACTTGGAAAATTTTAATCAGCTTTTGGTTGAAATGTCTTTCTTTTTTTATGTAAAAACTATAGCTTTAAATGTTGGCTCAACAGAATGTGCAAAAATAAGCAACAAACAGATTGCAGACTTAAGTTGAGCTAACATAATATTAGGTTATACATATTAACAGTTTTCCTAAGCAAAGAATAACAATTAATAGAACCAAATATTAACATTTTTAAAAAGCTCAATAAATTTAAGGATAATTATTATAAATATCTTTCTAGTTCAGCTCTGAGTCAAAGTATAAACATTAATAAATTTTATTAGAAAAAAAACTGCTCCAATTTTAAAGCAATATGCCTCTTCTGAAAAACAACTTCATTGTTAAATATGAATTTCGTTTAATATTTGCTTTTAGACTAATAATTTTTGCTCGTTTGAAAACTTTGACTCAAAACTCAAACCATCCAAAGAAACATTTTATGGTTCTATCCACTAAAATGTGGAATTAAGCAACATCATGTAACTTTATAGCTTATTCTTGACCGAATCAGCACTTGAAATATTGAAATCTTCAATCATTTTTATGCGCAGACATGGTTTTTTTCATTTTTAATCTTGAATTATAAGAATTAAAGTGTGCTAATTAAAATGTTATCCCCTAATTATTTTTTTTAGTATCAAGGTCATACTCGTTGGTTTTATTTGTAGATTTATAATCCAGTTGTTGGATTTTATGTCTGTACTGAAATACAGAACAAAAATAAAATTAATGTCTTCCTGTTCATGCTAAAAGCATCTTGGGGTTAAAAATGTAACCTGAAATTATATATTAGTTTCCTATTGAAACTTTGAGATAATCAGAACTTTTCAGTGCAAGAAAAAAGTATAATTTTTTTTTTATTTATATTTATTTTTTACAAATAGTTCCATCTAAGTCCCATTCTAAGAGCTTTAGAGGACAACCCTCACTCTCAAATTAATTAAGAACCACTGTTGACCCAATGTTGATGTTTTTAGTGCTGCCTGATGAAAGTCAAGCCTTCTAAACATCTAATCATCATCATCTCTCTGCTGATGCTCGGTAAGTACAAGTCCATTTACAACATAGATAGAGATATATTTATATTCTTCTCCTCTCTGTTTGGATTATAGTGAGTTCATTCTCTCACAGTAAACAATGGAAACATCTATTGTGAGAAATGAACATCATTGTTCTCTTGTCATGTTAAAATGTTTGAACAGAAAGAGAATAAATTCATTTTAGGCCCATCAGAGCGTTCAAGACAAATTCGTACTGCATGCATTTACAACATTTTCTATTTCTGGTGCAGATTTTCTGCTCAATAGTTGACATTTTTGTGTGATCCATTTTGAAACTGACTCCTGAAAATTCAGCATTTTTTCATCTTTTCGTTGCTGTGCAGCTTCGTGCAGCTCTGCCACCGTGAACTGCTCTCAGCCTAACCCAACGTCACTGCTGAGTGCTCTCCAGCCAGTTTTTGACTTGAACTCCATTCGTCCTGTTATTAATATGTCATCAACAACCAATGTCACCATCAGCTTCACCCTATTTGGTATTTTGGGAGTGGTAAGAAAACTCCTTTAAAATACAACCGTGTTTACTGTATCTTCACTCATCTTTTTTTTTCCTCTAAATCCAACATTATTCTGTATATAACTGTGATGGATATAGCTAATTTATTGTGTAAAGTTGCAGAAAATTTGTTGGTTCTTTTCTAGGATGAAAAGTCCCAGGTCTTGACAACCTTTATCTGGGAGTCCATAGTAAGTGTTTTCTTAGTAATCAGCTTCACAATGTGTGTTTGTCTCAATCAAAGCATAAAAATCAGAGAAATTCAATTTATTAGACTTGACATGACAAATGAAAAATTCAAAGACCATTTGTGCTGGTGTCAGTCATAAAGTGCCTGTTTAAATAGAAATCTGATGAATGTGTTTATTTGTTTGTTTTTTAATGTGCAGGATTGGAATAATGAATTTACCATGTGGGACGAAGAGGAATGTGGCCTTGAATGGATCGCCGTTCCACGGAAACTGCTCTGGGTGCCAGATATTGTCATTAATGAGTTGTAAGTTCAATTTACTCCATTAAACAAGACAGTTTTTATTTTTGGTCATCTGTTGATTGTCCAGTTTTTTTTTTTGTTTTTTTTTATGTCAAAGTGGTGAAAACTTTACAATAACTAGAAAAATTGCATTTCCTGCAAAAATGCAGTGTGAATACTTATTGCTCAAGAACTTGCTGAAAAACTGCTGAAATTAGCTAAACCATGCTGAAGTTTAGGTGAAATGGAAAAACAAGCCTAAGTTAGTAGAAGAAAGAACACATATTTGCTGAAATAGGTTTAAATAAGCAGAATTGTACAAAAGAAATAGGAAATTAGCTTACAAAAGCTGAAATTAAAAAAACAACAACTTTAAAGTAGCTTAAAAGGCAGAAAAAATCTTAAACTACCAGAAGGAAGTGGAAGGAGCTGCAATGAGCTAAAAAATGTGGAATTAGCTAAATTGAACGCAAAAACAGCTAAAAAGTAGCTGAAACTTAGAAATTTTGGGTGTGCACCTGAACAACAGCCTGAGCTGGGGCAACAACACCACCAACCCGATCAAGAAAGCTCATCAGAGACTCTACGTCCTCAGGCGGATGAGGTGAGCTGGTCTGGGAAGCTCAGTCCTCACCTCCTTCTACAGGTGTGCAGTGGAGAGCATCCTGTGCTCCAGCATCAACGTGTGGCATGGAGGCTGCACAGTTGCAGAAAGAAAAGCTTTGCAGAGAGTGGTGAAGGCTGCACAGAAGTCTTTTGGAGTCAGCCTCCCCACCATTACAGACATTTACATCTCTAGATGCAGGAAGAGAGCCATCTGCATCATGAAGGACCCCACTCACCCAGCACACACACTTTTTGCCGCTCCCCTCAGGCAGGAGGTTAAGGAGCATTAAGTGTAGAACCACTAGACTGAGGAACAGCTTCTACCCTGAAGCTGTTAGACTCATGAATCTCTAACCAGGATTATCACTGTGAAATAAAAAATCACTGTAATACCACTTGATTGTTGATGTGTGCTGTTGACTGTCCATGCTGCTGATCTCATGCTGCTGATATATTTCATGCTGATGTGTTCATGTGTACTCATCTGCTCACACAGACTCATGTTCGTGCTGCTGTTGTTCCTCGTATTGTTTTTGTACTTCTAGTGCTTAGTGTATTTTTAGCTTAGTGTATTACTTAGTTCATATCTTAGATCTTATTACTGGTTTTCTTTACAATTTATACTTTTGTTAGATGTAACTGGGACCCTGTGTACACAATTTTGTTCCACTAAATGTACCACATAAAGTCTGAAAGGGATTCTTTTGCCTCCAAAATTCCTACATGTGTCCAGTTTCACTACTTTTTGTCTGTCTAAGCAGGTCTCACTTCTAAATGAGTCTTCTAGGCTCAATGTGACTTATCTGTCTAAATAAAGGTTGACTGAAAAGGATGTAAATGACATAAAGGAACCTTAACCTTGACCTTGAAATAGCAGAAAAGCAGAAACGAGCAGAAAAAAGCTGAAAGGAGCATAACAAGCTGAATTTAGCAGAAAGAAGTTTATTAGACATAAAGTAGCAGAAATTACAATGAAAAGCTTGAATTTATCTGAAAACAGCTGAAATCGGGCAACAAAAAAAAAAGTGCCAAAAAGGAAGCAGAAGAGGTAGCTCAAGCTTAAATTAGCATAAGAAAGCAGAAAGATCATGTTTGCCCAATTAGGCTGAAAGAAGCAGAAATGAGCACAAAATAGTGGAAATTGTCTGGGAAAAAAAAAAACTGAAATTGGCAACAAAAAAAAAATTGCTGAAAAGGAGCTAAAAAGGCAGAAAGAAGCTTAAATTACCAGAAGGGACATATTATGTTTTTGCTGAATTAGGCTGAAAAAATTTGAAATTAGTGGAAAAAATGTGGAATTAGCTGAAAAAAATTAAATTAGCATAAAAACAGCTTAATAGTAGCTGAAATACCAGTAGTAGAAAAGCTGAAACTTGTAGAAATAAGATGAAAGGATTCTAATAAACTGAAATTAGCATAAAAAAGTTAAAAGAAGCACAAAAATGTTGTAGTTAGTAATAATCTGAAAGGACCACAAAACAGCTGAAAAAAAAAAAAACTGCTGAAACTGGTTGCAAATAGATAGAAAAAAAGTTCAAATTTGCACAAGGAAGCTGAAAGAAGCTGAACCAGAACAAAATGTGAAAGGAGCAGTCAAAGTTGTAAACAGATCTAAAGATTTGAAGAATGTAAAATGAGAAATTCATTTTCTATGAGAAAGAAATGGCAGCAAAGGCTCAATATTTCAAAAAGCTAAAGTTGCACCAATATCAAAAGTCACAGCAGGATTGTCCAGAAAGAGCTGAATGTTTTGATGTATGATTTGATGAAATAGCTTAAAAACTGTGGGTCGAGAATCGCGCAGAAAATTGTACGGAAGAAAAATTGATCACAATAGTGTGAATGCTTCATAAACATTCACACTATTGTGATCTGTGATCTTTGACATTCAGAACTGCACTTTTACCTTCAACAAAATCATGAGATCCATCTCTATCTGCCTGATCGCAGCCACTTTCAGTTTCTATTTTCTGTCCATTGCTTGTCAACAAACTCGTCTTCAAACTGCAGAGATGTATCTATAAAGTATTTTGTTGGAAGATTGATAGTTTTTGCGTTTTGTCGTCCTGCAGCATGGGGCAAAACACCGCCCCAGAGGTCCCGTACACCTACCTTCACTTTAAAGGTGGTGTATATGATCAACAGCCTGTCAAAGTTGTAAGCTCCTGCCGTCTTGACATCTACTTGTTCCCATTTGACATTCAGAACTGCACTTTTACCTTCAACTCTTACATACTCGACAGTAAGTAACTTTTCTTTTTACTCCTGGCTGAAGACAGACTTATGAAGTTTTTGTTGTTATCTGTTTTTTTAATGTTAAACCTCTTCATCTGATCCAGATTACTCATTTTAATTTCCTTTCAGTGGATGCCATACAACTGTATTCTGGAAATTCAGCAAAGGAAATACTTCAAGCATCAAAAGAGGCAATGGCGACCATGGGTGAATGGGAATTAGTTGGAATCACATCAGACCTTAAAACGATCAGACCTATGGATGGGTCTGCTTATCAGGAGCTTCATTTCTATGTAAGACCCTGTAATAATATGTAACCATTATAGTTTTCCATGTTACTCAACTATACCCAGTGAAAATTATGTGGTTGTATACCTGACCTGTCAGATTATCCATGCTCTGTGTGTGAAACCTTCGCTGCAGATCTCGGTCCGCCGCCAACCTGTCATGTACGTTGTGAACCTCCTGATCCCCAGCTGTTTCCTCATCACAGTGGACCTCTTCAGTTTTATGCTGCCTGCACAAAACATTGACCGGTCCTTGTTCAAGATGACCCTGATCCTGGGCTACACCGTCTTCCTGCTCAGCACCAACGACCTGCTGCCCATCACTGGAAACACCATACCGCTCATAAGTCAGTTGACAAGAACTCATATAATTTATTTTCCACTTTATTTCTTCCTGTAGCCATTTTGTACCTTTACATTTTTGTCTGACTACAGATCCGCCTTTAATAAGCCTAATTTTTCAACAAATAAAAAAGACGTTTGAAGTGTTTGTAAGCAAAATGACTTATTAAAAAACTGTCATTGTCCCAGATGTGTTCCTGTCGCTGTGCCTGTCCATGATGGTTACCAGTCTGCTGGAGACTGTCTTCATTACCAATCTTTTGTGTGGTTCTGCTCACTATACTCCACCTCCTCGCTGGATCAGGGTGTTAGTTCTTCATTTCTTGGGTCGGCTAGTTGGACTTCCTTCCAAACCCACTGAATTAGAAGACACAGTGATCCAAAATCCTGATGCACAAGGTTGTTCAGTTGTTTGTTGGTTTAATTCGCTGCATTGTCTTGATTTAAACTGGTAGACGTGATATCCTCCGCCTTTTCTTTTTCTGCAACAGAAATGAATGATTTCTCTCAAGTGGCCAAAGCGAATGAGACTTCAGAGCAGAAGGAGCTGCTGAATGGAGACATGATGGTGCAGGTGTTGAAGGAGCTGAGTGGAGACCTCCAAGCCATCCACCATCAGGTCATACATGAGCTAAAAGGAGGCCGCAGCTCCGAGGAGTGGATCCAGGTCGGTCTCATCATCGACCGCCTGTTGTTCATCCTCTATATAATCTTTATAACAGTCAGCTTCATCACCATCATCATCATCTGGGTGAAGTCATACAACAGCATCTGATTAATTTATTTTCATTTTTAACGATCCTTATTCCATCCGGACTCTGCTTTGATGTTTTTTTTTTCTTGAATTTAAAATCATCTTGTTGGAAATAATATCCAAACAGATTTGATTTGCACAACTTCTCTGCAAGTTTCTACACAGTGATAGGTCTGCAACAGAGAGAAAGCAAGCAGAATTATGTGATTTGTTTCACAACTTCCACCTGTTAAGTTGTTGCTTCACATCACCTGCTCATACCCTTAACGAGAAGCCAAAGGAATGATCTTTAAAGCATCCACTAAAGGGTTTGGGTTTTTAATAAGTGCTACCACATTTCATTTTTATTTTTATTCAAACTTTATTTATATAGGTTAGTCTCATTCAGCCACGCAGACTCATTTTCAATTTTCAAATGGTCAAAAACTTAATTTAATGGGCTTTAATGTCTACTTAAAGAGATGAAGCATGTAGCGCTGAAAAAATGTTAAGACACCTTTAGCATGTAAAATATATTAAAATATATTTTGTCTAAGCTCACTTTACTCATTAAACTAAAAAGAACTCAAAACACAATCTCATTTCTGTGAGAACCATTACTGTTATATTCTTTCTGATACTCCCTAAGTTTATGTATTACATGACAACCCAGGTGCCATTTGATGCAGTTCAATCATATTCTTCTTTTTTTTTTTTACAGTGACAGAATTCACAGAAACTTGATTTGAAAATAACAAACCTGAAGCAACTGTTCCTTTGTGTACCTCAGAAATAAATAAATAAAATAAACACAAGTTGGGCTTTTTTTGTTGCTTTAATCAATCAGAGATAACTTGTGTAGCCAATTAATGTTATGTGATTTAGTTTGACTATCATATATAAAATGTGTACTTCTTCAAAGTCCTACTAGCTTCTTAAAACACAGCCCTGTAGTGAACATGTCGGGTCCCTTTGACTTACACTCAA